AACCACGTGGAGGTCGACCTAATAAGGTATATTGCTAGCAATTGGGCTGTCAAACTTCATTGCTAACAATCCCTTTCCCCTTTCGTATTGCAGTAGTTAGTACGTAGTATTTGGACTCAACTTTTGGGTATAGGCTACTTTTTAACGCGGCCGATTCATATTTTTTTTATATCGCTGAGGCGGCAAACAGGCATACGTCCTACCTGATGGCAAGCCGTTACCTTAGCTCTGCAGTATTAGGAACATTACTCGCGTATTACCGACCCTGAAAAAATTTCTTTACCCCTTTTTTGAAGAACTTCATAGTGTAGTTACACGCACGAAGCGTGGACAAAAACTAGTTTTAAACAATTTTTTTTTTATAATTAAGTCACATTAATTTATTGTCAAATAAAACCGCACAATCGCACGTTGCACTTAATTTATTTGCTTAGAATTTCTTTATAGCATCAAGATTCGTTCGTGAAAATGGCTTTTTATTTTTGGCTCGCCTCCCATACCGGTTTTTGTGATTGTAGTATGGCATTTACAGAAAGTTAATCTAGATTTAACGTCGATAGGTGGTTACTAATAAAATTGTCATTTTATTACTGTATGAATCATTGGTACAGTCGATGGCATGCTGCTACTAAGATGGTGAGATACAGCTCTCATGACAAAAACATTATAACTTGTGCTTAAATTAAAAATGTAAAGCCGGTATGTTGGTAGTAGATGTGTGCATGAATTGAGTTGGACTCAAACTTAATTAACTTATAATTAGTAATGTAGGATATAAAAAAAAATGTTAAATACAGTGAATGCTCTATATAAGCATCTATCTACTCAGCTTAGTTAGTAAAAGAAATAAGTAAAAATACTTTCCAGACGGTAAGTATTTTTATACTCCCTTTTTCTCTATAAGCAACATTTTTTTTATGCAACTTAGAATGACAAACAAGCTGACGGCCCACCTGATGGTAAGTGGTAACCGTCGCCGATTTACCTACATGAGCAGTACCATGGACATAACAGAGTATACTATTTCGCCCATGATACCCCAATGCGTTACCATTCCTGAGGACTAAGGTGTTATTCCTCTGTACCCAGTAAATTCATTAAACTTCAAGTAAACTTTTCCTAATAAGATTTTTTTTTATTGAAATTGTTTCAAATGAGTTACTTATATAGAGTGTTCACTGTACTATAAAACCATGGGCCTCTATGCTACAATAGTATCGAGTTATTTTTATCTGGATCATTTTTGTTGATTATTTTTTATTCGAAGAAATTTTGTTTCGTATTGATTTGTATTAATTTTGCCCAGACTGACCAATGAGATCTGCTCTTATTAACTTACCTTCTTCTTTCCATTTAAGAGTTCCCTCTTGTGGGTGCAACTAATTCATGCATCTTCTTCCAGCCAACTCTATCCCAGGCCATATCGTTGACCTCCTTATACGACATGACACCTAGTGTTAACGTACCTAGTAACATAAATTTTTTTATTGTCATTTGATGATCCGTTAACTGTCCGCTGCTGAACCTGAGTTCAGCAATGCAAGTGCTTTCCCTATAAGGGGAATTTTGCCTGTAGTTGCCACGCTTGGCAGGCGAATTGGTAACCGCAGTCAGTCTTTGGTGATATTTTAAGGTGGACGCCGCTGCCTATCCTTCGACCATTAAAATTTCTTTCTAACCTCTTACAACACTCACGGGAAAAGGACGGCCCATTCTATGCCGGGACCACACGGCGACATTAAATATTTTAATGTATTTATTTAAACTATTTATTTATTTAAATATCTCTTCAGTAAAATAATAATTATTTAAATACAGAACTGTCGGCTCTCCTGTCCCATCCACACCTGACCCGTTTTTTCTTACCGTTTGCGGATGGATGCGTTTTTTTCTATAATCTCTTACCTGCGCTCCGCTCAGTGTTCCTTCTAAATGGATTCCCTTGTCTTTGACGTGTATTTGAAGAACTATTTGTGTTACCGCCGGCGGTGGAACTGTTGAATTCAGCAAGGGACACTTGTTAAGAAGAATATGAAGTAAAATTACATGTAAATTGTATGAATGACACCACTGTTCTAAATTATATTTTTTTTAATAATATACTTAATTTTTTTATTTATTTATTTTATTTATAGAAAAATCCACAGCTCTTAAAAAATAACTTACATGCTAAGTCTCTTATGAATACAGCCAATAACGGATTTTATTTATACAAACAAAAATTTTGATTCCAAAGCGAGGATGGCAAGTTAGAGTGGGTGTATGCAAGTAATATAAGCACATGTATGAAAGGAACCATCTATAATAGTGAGTGTCCATAAAGTTAAGTTAATTGATATATAAAATAATTAAAATCCATGTTGCTAAAGTTCAGATTTTGACAGCAATGATTAAATAATACAATAATAATAGGTAATAATAAAATAATATAAGATTAAATAATAGTTTAATTGTCAAATCTTCTATTTTGCTATATTCTTAAATGGTATTTCTTTGTATCTAAATGAGTGATAATGGAATGGTAACCTCGCCTGCGCTAACAGTATACGAGTATATATAAGCTGGTGGGGTACCAGTGAGTGATGATAGGTGAGAGTGAAAAGGCAGATCAGTAAGCTTATCGTGATAAATTCACTTGCAATAGAACACGATGGTTTCCAGGGTGAACCACGACAAGGTCGACCTGACAGGATGAATTGCTAGTAATGAGGCTACTAATGCCTATTATTAACAATCCCCTCTCCCTCATCTTAAATAGCATTATAAAATAGTATTAAAATGTTACTTTACTGTACAAGATTTTCCAAAATTTAAATACATCTCTATAAATGATCGCATAATAATAATATAATCCTAACAATAAAGAAACTATGCAACCATCATACCATGTTAATACCAGAACAAACTATGTATGAAAGAGAATGTTTTAAAACACGTACGGAAAGAGTAAACAAAAGCAAAGACGGGGCGGGTAGCTACTAAAAAATAATATTAAAGAGGTTACCTATTTCCTTTTAGACGGACACCAAAATAAACCGCAAATTAGATGGCCATCTACGAAAGCTCCGTTAATCCGTAATCAGAAGCTCATTCCGTGGTAGATAAATAAAACCGGTCCCTCAAATGATGGCCGAGCGATGCCATCAAGAGAACACATTTGATATTCCGTTTTGACGAAAACATTCATTAAAATCTATCAGGTATATTTATAATGTGGATATTATTCTCTGTTTACTGGCGAATTTTCTAATGCATACTGAAAGCGTGTTGCTTTCATATAAATCTTTTCATTTCTCAGTTACTAAACTAATATTATAAAGAGAAAAGATTTGTTTTTTTCAACACAAAAAATACTTAAGCATCTTCAAAAAATCTTTCACCTATAGAAAGCTATATTGTCAGGGAGTAAAGTGAAATGATAATTATTAAAAATATATACTTATTTACAATAACAAGGCAGTGACTTCCATTTTGAATTTTAAAATTTTATGTTGGTAATAAGTGGTTATACAGAATCGACAACTAGTAAATTCAGTTTTCATTCATTCCATTTTTTTATCAGCTGAACACATAGTGTCTTGTCGCAAGTACAAATGATAATAATTTGAATTTTACAATTAAGAAACAATGTTATTTTATTGATGTTGGAGATAATATAATGTCTTGATATAACCATACTGATCTGGTCATAAAATGTAGTTATTAAAAATCTATGGAAGTGGTACAAATGCCTTCCAACTTATAAATATGAAATATGTAATATTTTCTTGTTTTTTTTTTATACTGTCATATTTATTTATTTATTTATTGATTTATAGCAAAGCAACAGATTACATATTAATACATTTATAAAATAAATATTACATAAAACGGCATTAAATTTGCACTCCAACAACTGCTCTGCATAACATTCGATATTATATACATTAAAAGAATGATGGCTATAAATTTAAAGTAACAAATTGGCAGCCTTAATGTAACATTGCAAGGATTGTTGGAAAATATCAAGCTCCTTGCATACATTGTTATATTTTCTGCACATGCGGATAATTGGAGTGTGATATCTTATTATATATATATAGGATAATTTTATACCAAAATCAGCGTTTATATATTAATTCTATTTATTTGATATCTCTTCAGCGTTTATGGAAATATCACGATTCATGTTCATTGTACGTAGCTTACAGCGCATTTACTAGTTTTTTGCACTTATCCGATAGTTTAGCTATAATGTACCAATAAAAAAGTTAATATTACATATAAAGGGTATCTACTTATCGAGTTGGGACCATGTAACATAGAAAAACATCAAAGAAACTGGTCTGAGAAGTAGCTATGACATAAATTAAAAAGATGCAATCTTGCGTTCCGTTATAACTTTATGCGTTCGTCTTCCATTGCTCACATTTTACTCCGTATTCTGCAATATCCATTTAGACGTAGTTCGCCTTTGGTTGGCGATTATTTATGTTATGAAATTCTAATCTTAAATATATTTTATGGATGTAAAATAAATCAAATGCGCTTATGATTATTATTTCACAAGTTAGATTATGTACTTTCTTAAAAAAACGGTTTTTTTTTTATTTCTAGCTTAATGTACGTGTAAAATCATGTACCGCTTAAAATCAGGTGGGCCGTATCCTTGTTTACCACTAATAGTGGTATATAAAATATATTATTATCCTTGTATTTATTTCATTATATACATTTAAAATATATTAAATAAAATTTTTGATTATGTTATTATTCAAAAATTCATAGTTTTAAAATGTCATCAAAAGTGTTAACTTTTGATGACATTTTAGAACTATGAAATTAAACTTGCAGAATAATACATTTCATCAATCATTACTGGCTAGTAATATCCGTGGATTTTTATTTTAATTAAAATTTATCATTCATTATTAAATAAATAACCGCGCAGTGTGGTGACCCGTATTAGAAATACAAAATTTTAATGACTATTAATTAAATTACATTATTTTCATTTGCAGGTGCGAGTGACAATGTGTGTGCGGTGAGAACAAGTGTCGCGCGATGTTGCGCGTCGTCGCGTGGCTGCTGCTGGCGACAGCGGCGCGCGGCGAGCACGTCCGCGAATTCACCGTCCGCGAGAACCTGCCTGCTGGCTCCTTCGTCGGCCATCTCGGCGACGAGCTACCCGACGCTGCGCCCCCATATACCATTGTGCCCGTCCCAGGCAGCGCCGTCAACGACGACCTCAAAGTAGACCCTCACACTGGAGAAATAAGGACTCGAATACCACTAGACAGAGAAAACAGGGACCAGTACGCACTAGTCGCCATCCCTGCGAGCGGCGATAATATCCGAGTAGTCGTTAGGGTTTCCGATGAAAATGATAACGCTCCAACTTTCCCCACCTCAGTGATGAATGTTGAGTTCTCAGAGAATACCCCCAGAGATGTTAAGAGGAAACTGAATCCGGCTAAGGATCAGGATTTAGGTGTATTCAATACACAGAAATATAACATTGTGTCGGGGAACACGGATAACGCTTTTAAATTATCCTCGCATAGGGAAAGAGATGGGGTTTTGTACTTGGACCTCCAAATCAATGGGTTTCTCGATAGGGAGACAACTGATCACTATAAGTTAGTTATTGTAGCACTAGACGGTGGAACTCCACCACTAAGTGGAACCATGACAGTTAATATAACTATTTTAGATGTAAACGATAACCCACCTGTGTTCGCGGAAAGTGCGTACTCGGCAAATATACCGGAAAACGCGACTGTTGGCACACCAGTTTTGAAAGTATTCGCGACCGACTCTGATGCGGGTGAAAATGGTTTAATCGAGTACTCGATAAATAGGAGACAAAGTGATAAAGAGAATATGTTCAGGATAGACCCAGAAACGGGTGAAATCACGGTGAATAAAGCTCTCGATTTTGAGACGAAAGAACTGCACGAGCTGGTTGTTGTAGCCAGAGATAAAGGTGCGCAGCCTTTAGAAACAACAGCATTTGTCTCTATCAGAGTAACGGACGTGAACGACAATCAGCCTACGATAGACGTCATATTCTTGAGCGACGATGCGACTCCAAAGATATCGGAATCCGCTCAGTTGGATGAATTCGTGGCGCGTATATCGGTTCACGATCCGGATTCCAAAACGGAGTACTCAAACGTGAATGTTACGTTGAGCGGTGGCGACGGGCATTTTGATTTACGGACACACGACAACATTATCTATCTGGTGGTCGTTGCGTTGCCTTTGGACCGCGAATCTAGATCATCGTATACTCTGAATGTTGTAGCAACTGACAAGGGGTCGCCTCCCCTGCATGCGTCTAGGATAATAAGCCTCCGAGTAACTGATGTGAATGATAATGCCCCTGTTTTTCTCGAGAGTGAATATAAAGCGAGTGTACCCGAAGCGGCCGCGCCTGGGACCCCCGTAGTACAAGTGTCCGCTACTGACGCCGATGAGGCAGAAAATTCGGAGATTCGGTACAGTCTTCTGCCGACTCCCCAATCAGATTGGTTTTCGATTGACGAGCGTTCGGGATTAGTGACGACACGGTCCAGGGTCGATTGTGAGACGAATCCGATGCCACAATTGACGGTGGTGGCAAAAGATCGCGGTAACCCTCCGTTGTCGTCGACGGCAACTTTGGTGGTAACAGTGTTAGATGTGAACGACAACGAGCCGATCTTCGACCAGTCCTTCTACAATGTTACTGTTCCGGAGAGTGAATCAGTCGGCAGCTGTATTTTAAAGGTAAGTTTAGAGTTTAACCTTATAATCTTATTGATAGTACTGATTCTCAAATTAAATTGTTTCCCACGACACAATGAGAAGCTGGTTCATTGTGAACTACATCTGTTGTGTATGTCATATGTAGGTACTATAAATAATATCGATTTGCAATTTAAAAATTGATTTCCCGTCGAATAATCGATTCGCACAATAAATCAGTTATTAACGTTTGATAGCGGTGAAAGTGAACTCGTCAGTTTGTAGTAATTTATGTTATTTATTAAAGTAAGTGTTATATAGTTTGAGCCACAAACTATTGAGGTTAACCTTATAATAACTAGACATGATTTTGGAAATTACATTACACTCGTTAACCTAGTACTTACTAGTGTAATTGAGGTTAAAGGCAATTTCTTATTACATTCGTGTATCTAGTTTTTATAAATTCACATGTCATCTATATTTTTGATATGCCAAATTACTCTACACTGATTACGCGTAGACTGCAGTATTACTGTTGGAAAATTCACATTCACTGAACGTAGCGACGTAATTTTGTTGTTATTCATACCAAAGGCAATAATCTGCAGATTGGCGTTAATCCAAGTCATTGTTTGTTTGTATTCTGTTTACAAATCAGGCTGGTGCACAATGATAGAACAATTGATAAGATTTTGTTAAATCGAAACGTAATGACTATACTAGTTTTTTATTATACAAGATTATTTATTTGTAAAACATGCGAATAAATACATATTAATGTATTCACATATTAGTCATGTGAGAATGGATTTGTAATTATTTTGTTTTGATCTTATTTTATACAAAATTAATTATTTAATTTAATTTCAATACATACAATAAATTACTTAATTGGTTATATAAATTAATCAATTGAATAACAGCACTCCTTAAATAAAAAAGTTGTGAGTTTGTGTAATAATAATAATAGTAAAAAATAAATTAATAAATCACTTTTTACGAATTTTTAAGTGTTTTATATATCACGTTTGCATTTGCAAAAATAACATTAGTATACGACTAAGTAATGATTAATATATATCTAATAATACCCAAGAGGGTTGACGTCAGGCAGGCGGCCGGTCGTAAAACTATAAGCTAAATCCTTTTGTAATATGGATAAAACCATATTATGCCGACCCCAAGTAATAATTGGGATAAGGGTAGGAAGATGATGATGGTGTCTAATAGTTCAGAATTAAAATTATAGTAAAGGTTTATACTTTAAGACAAAAGTTTATTTATTTAGTAGCTATATCAGTGTTTTGAGGGCCGTTTTAATGTTTCCTATATCTCGTTTAGTTTAGCCAATTTAATATATCTTGTGGACACAGATAAGAAGTAGACCGGTGTCGCGTGAAACTTTCGGTCTGAATCAGACAAAGTCATCTACGTAATACATAATGGCAACACAGAAGTAAGCAATACAAAATTATTCACATAAAAACAAGCGGAATACCTCCGAGGCGCACATCAATTAGTAAAACACGGACAGATCAATTCGGCTTATCGTCCGCGCGGCCGCGCCGCCGCGCCCCGCGCTTGACGAATTTGTTAAAAAAAGCCCAATTTTCATTAACTCTTATCTCGTAACCGCTCGTAACTTACTCCAGTTAATTTCTTTTAATATATTCCACCGATATTGGAGTACGCACCGGCATAGTTATAAGTGAGAAGCATAAATCTATCGTGTGGAGTGATGCCAGTTTGGGCGTGGGGCGAGCGCGATCGCAAATTGCGATCTAAATTGAAAATTAAACAGTCCGCTGCGCCGGTGCGCGGGACGGCTGGCCCCGGTGCGATGTGCCTGCGGCGTTCGCGACCAATGGGCTTTTGGCGGCTACACACTATGCCGGACGCGCTATTCCCAATGTTATAATAGTGATATAACCATCAACATGTGATGTTTTATGGTAAATTTATAATAACAGTTCGGTTGTTCGAACTCCAGCCTGTTCTTTTGGATTAGAATTGTTCACGATCGTTTCCAGAGTGAACCACGTGGAGGTCGACCTAATAAGGCATATTGCTAGCAATGGGGCTGTCAAACTCCATTGCTAACAATTCCTTTCCCCCCTGATGTTGCGGATTCCTATGTGCATCACCATCAGGCGAGCCGCATGATTGTTTACCCCTTATATTATAATAAAGAACCGTGTGTGCCCCAGCATAGAATGGAGCACCCCTTCCTTTCCCGTGGGGGTCGTTAGACTAAGGGAGCTTATGGTAGAGGGATGGACAGCAGCGTCCCTCTTTAAACATCTCTAAAAGCATAACTGCGGTTGCCAATTTGCCTACCAAACGTGGCAACTACTGGCAAAACTCTCCTTATAAGGAAGACCTATATCTAGCAGTGGACAGTTAACAGATAGATAGATAATTTATTAACATTACTTACAGCACACAAATTACAATACAAACATACAATACGAGTAGTAATAGTAATAAAAAAAATACAAAAACCCTAATCACATTACGTGCATAAGGAAAAATAACAATTTCTTTTATTTAAATATAATTTAAGTTTAAAAATTTCCAAACTGTTCCTTTTGTTATAGAATAAATAATAGCTTTTGTATGTAAATATGGTAATATTAGGTAATACCAGAAGGAGACTTTGTACAAAAGTCGATTGCTTGGGTACCTCTGTCCCATTTGTGTTTCAACCGTGAAGCAGTTGTGTTTACATGGTTGTGTATCGGTTTGAAGGGTGGGATATGGCGTGAATTTACAGGGTACAGAGGAATAACATCTGAATCCTCAGGAATGGCAGCGCATGGGGGGTATCATGGGCGAAACAGTATACTCTGTTATGTCCATGGTACTGCTCATGTCTATAGGCGACGGTTACCACTTTCCATCAGGTGGGCCGTCAGCTTGTTTGCCATTCTAAGTTGTGTATAAAAAAAAATGTAATTTAAATAAACTATTAAATGTATTATTATAATAATATTAATCTTATTATTAATTAAATTAATGGAATAAAAACAAAATTCGTCAAAACACGTGGAATGATAACCCCGCCTGCGCTAACGGTATACACTGGCGGAGTACCAGTGAGGGATGATAGGTGAGGATGAAAATGCAGGTCAGTTAGTCCATCGTGATGAATACACCTGGAATTCAGCATGATGGTTTCCAGGGGGGAACACGTGGAGGCACCTGATAAGGCATATTGCCAGCAATGGGACTGGTAGTTTTCATTACTAACAATCCCCCCCCCCCCCTCCTCATGAATAAAGTTTGATCAACATATTTTAGTTCGTACTTAGATACTGCATCATGCAAATTAGGTTGTCTGGCGTCGTTAGACGTTTGCGCAAAAAGTCAGTGTCGTGTGGACCACGCTGAAAGTTTTCGACGCTTACTCGAATACTTTGTTTCGTATACAATGTACACTCACGACTATGCCATAGATGAAGTATAACGACCAGTAGTATAAAAATATTTTTATTTAAAAATTCGTTTATTATTAATTAATTCATTTCAATTCATAATTGTTAATTTGTTTGGTCAATTTTAGTTATTCATCTAAGTACAGAGTATTGTTTGACACTGTATAATAATTTTTTATTTACTTATCTATTACCTATCCTAAATCATAGACAGATAGTATCTGCGCACTATGTCCTCAGTACGTGAATTCATTATACTACTTACGTCCTAAATATAGAGAGATTCTACAAACTAGAGAGAACTACAAATTCCATTGTAGTTTAAATTTCGAGGTAGATCATTTAATTCCTTCACTTCGCGTGCATGAAGTAGCTTTTATTTTTTTCAGTTTTCGACCACTTTGTATGATCTAAAAAAAATTATATTTTTATAGTATGTATATTTATATCTTTACTTTCGGAATAATGTACAAAAAATTATTACAATGATTTAGAAGTTATAAAAAAAATTATAAGAAGAAAAACAAGCTACGTAATATATTTATTTTAGGGCAATTTACAAAAAAAGTATAAAAATAAAATGATAGATGACAATATATGTAACTGACCTTATATATAACCACTTTTAGTAAATAATAGTTTAGAAAACAATTTCGTTGGAGTTGAACAATAATAATGGAATATAAAACAACAAAGTCGAATGGAACTACTGCATTTTAGTTAATCTGTGGAATACGAACACAAGCTCTAAATTATGTGCCGAATAAAGTCGAATACGAACTTTTAATAGAGGTTAAGTGCAGTTACGAAGCATTAGCTTTAGTATTACACATTTAAAATGTTATTATACACAAAAAGTTTTATGTACTGTTTTATGGAATCAACTTTTCATGCAACCAAATACTTGGTATTATTGTTTTATTGGACTTAGTGTTTTGTGATAATTGATTTTAAATATAGTATTTTATAACTTAATTAAATATTTTACTGTTAAAAATTCGATAAATACATATTATATTTTTATGTATATTTTAGTCAAGTGTTTTAGTTGAGAAGGCTCGACTAGTTACGGAACCATCCGGAACTCTTAGTTAAGAGCGGCTGTTACACAACCTTGAGAGTATGAGGGATGGATAAACTAGTCGAGCTTTTTAAAATAAACGTAAATTATTTCGAGCGTTATTACATAAATAAATTAATTAATCACGTATGTATTTAAAGTAATTAAAAAGTGGAGATATATGAGTGGGATTATTAAATGAGAGACTATGTTTATAGTTGACATATATTAATGGTCTGATATAAATCAATATGTTACTATAATTTCTTTTTTTTTTTTGTTTTTTTGTCTTTTTTTTCTTTTTAATGGTTCATTTCTGTTTGCAAACTGTTATTGTAACTTATAACAAATAAAGAAATCAAATATATATATATATATATATATATTTGATTGCTTTGCGGGATAACGTCTCGTCTCTTACGACGACGAGCATAGTAAGTTACATAAAAATCTCTTTATATATATATATATATATATATATATATATATATATATATATATATATATATATATATATAACAATTTGATTTTGCATAATTGACGTG